AGTTTATCCAGTAAAACTGTAGTAGACAGCAGCAGCCTGTTCAAACCATCTGCCCTATCCTGGTAGGCAATACTTTGATATACTATGATGCTAAATGTGACTGAAGGGATACTGGATTGGGGAATCAAGTTCTAATTCTGACCATTCTACAAATTCTTGTATGTGTTGTGCATAATCCAGTCACAAAGTGAGTATAGTTTTCATGATGGTTGTGAACTCAAATAAGATAATAGATATGAACCTAATCCAAAGGATTGTTATTTATGTCTAATAGGAAGTGGGAAATATCAGAGATTTCTTCATGTCAAACAGATTTTTAAAGAATTTTTTTTTTAAAAACCTCTCTTCCAGAAGTCATATTACAAGAGAAGAAAACCTATAAAATTAATGCAGAACACATGCTAAGTAATACAGTAAATCAAAATTGAAAGCATATGGTAATAAGAAAGAAGGAAGGCTGATACACATTTGAATGAGGAAGTGATGATCAAGTTCACATAATCCATGGACAGTTTTAATAATTCACCTTGAGCTTTAGATGGACTGCTGGGGCATGCTCCTGTTTAGGCAACAGGCAGGCATTCTTCTGGTGATCCCATTGTAGAATCTGTTAGTTAACTGCTATCAAGGTTTATCAGCTCAGGATAATTATCCTCCAACCAAAATTTTTGTCTTTGGCAAGAATAGTTTGACATCCAGGTGGATAATTCTAAATAACTATATTCAAGAATGACTTGACTTTCTCTGGATGAATTTGTAGCTAGTTAATCTCAGTAGCAGCCATTGGGAGCAAGAACATGCTTCAGAGCTTACCGCCTACCTTTACAGTGTTATGGCTCCCTAATGGTAGAAAAAGACTGTCAGTAATTCCAACCTTCAAACTCTTTTGGTTATGGTAAACTCTTCTGTGTTTCAGTGCTGAATGTTGAGGCTTCAGTTAAGTATTTTAAGCATTCAAACTGATTTGAGGTTTGAAAAAGGTATTAGCACTGCTTAATACTGATGTCTCTCCTTTGTGTGAAGATGGCACGGCCTTATATACAACAAGGCTATAACTCAAATTTGTTAATTAGTAAAACCCCTGTTTTCCAATACACACTTTTTCTTAAAGCACATGAATGTCCTTCCAACAACTGTGTTTCCCCACGTGGTAGGTACTGGACAGAGATCTGTTACATATTGTTTGACATATACCTGTAGCATTTATATTCAAGCAGATTTACCTAAAAGAAAACTAATCATTGGTTCCTCTAAATTTGTCTTGAAACAACATTGACCTTCCTAAGTGCCTGACATTGCTTAGGTCCTGGTAATAAAGGTTGCTAAGATGTGGTCCTGCTAGAGAGGGGTTTACCTCTAGATACAGATGGATCTCAGATAACACCTGGAGCTCACTGCATTTCTAGCAAATCCTGGGGCTGCTGACCCCATGTTGAGACCCTTGTACAAGAACTGCTCTGTCCAGTATGGTAGCCGCTCACCACATGTGTCTACATAAATTGAATTTAAGTTACAGTTACATGAAATTTAAAAACTCAGTTCATTAGTGACTAGCTCAATGGCTACTGCATTAGATAGCATAGATTCAGAATATTTCCATGACTGCAGAAAGTTAGTACACAGAAGATTTCTGGTTTTTTGTTTTTCCTCCAGAGTTATTTCCTCATGTTTATGTATCTGGTCCACTTAGAGCTTACTTCAGAGATGGTAATAAGGTAGTTATCCTAACGTCACATTTTAGATAGCTAGATAGCTTTCTCCCATTACTTGTTGAAAATTAAATTCCTTTGCACAGAAATCTGAAATACCACTATTATGTGCTATTTTAAATTTGCATATGTATTTGTGCTTGTGGCAGAACTTTCTAGTTGGTTGCATTTATCTGGGAATAGGAATATTTTCAATACAAAATTGGCTTCTGAAATTATAATGGATTGAGCCTGGAATTATGGAATGAGAGAATGAGAAGTTCTGTTGCTTTTGGTTGGCTTTCAAAGAGACATTTTTACTGCAATGCACTTGGGCGGGGTTGAGTTCAAAAGATCTATTCATTCAGCATGCTACCTTTTCACCATGAAACCTGGTGTAATGTGCAGATTATAGATAACCAAATTGAATGAGACACAAGCCATTTTAATATTCTGAATAATTATCCACCCTATTATTAAAATTAAAAATGTGTTAAAGAAATACCAATGGGAAGATGGAGTGGGTATAGAAAAAGTATTAAATTGTTACCTTTTAAAAATGGGAAAATATTTTTCGTTCAATGTTTATATGTTTGTACATAAAAGAATGAACTGTGGGATTTAGTCATTTTTTTTAACCTAATAGATACACTGGAACATACTGCTTTTATGTGGGGCAGGAGAAGGGAGGTGAGGCACCATTAAGAAATGACCACTTTAGTGATACACTCTATAATGCCAGCTATATCTCAGGAGGTGGAAATGGGAGAATTGTGGATTAAGGTCAGCACAGGCAAAAAGTTAGCAAGACCACATCTTAACAAGATGGGCATGGTGGTACACATCTGTGAGAATCCCAGCTACAAGGGAGGTATAGGAAGGAAGATTGTAGTCTGAAGCTGACCCCAGGCAAAAAGTGTAAGACCCTATCTGAAAAATAGCTAAACCAAAAAGGGCTAGGAGTATGGCTCAAGAGGTAGAGCACTTACCTAGCAAGAGTGAGGCCCTGAGTTTGAACCCTATTACTGCCAAAAAAAAAAAAAAAAAAAAAAAAAGTACTACTTTATGACTGCATAAAGACTGGAGTAGCTTAGAAACTCAAAACAACCAAAGAAGGTGAAGGTGAGGCCCAGGTCCGGACATAGGGAATGCTTTGAAAAAAATCAATATAAATTGTTTGACCTGAAAATCAATATAAATTGTGCTATATGATTGACCCTTGTCCACCCTGAAGCGAGACTCCTTCTCTGGCAAGCGAATTCAGAGAGACCACAAACCAGGAGATACACTTAGGAGAATGGAGTGAGGTGCCACGTGGAAATAATGTAGAGCCCTGAATGAGGAGATTTCTAGCCTCACTGACTTTTCAAGTTCCTGAAAGCCAGTAGGTAGCTTCATATCTGTAGTCAAGAAATTGGAGAATCAGCCAGGTGTAATGGTGCATACCTGTAATCCCAACACTGAGGCAGAAGGATCAGGAGTCTGAAAACAGCTTGGACTACACAGAAAAACCCTGTTTCAACCAAAAGCAAGTCTGATGTGGTGTAGCATACTCTTTTATTCCCAGCTAACTGGGAGGCATAGGTAGAAGAATCAAGGTTTGAGGATGGCTCTGGGGAAAAACATGAGACCCTATCTGAAAAATAATTAAAAGCAAAATAGGGTTTGGGGGTGTGACTCAATGGTAGAGCACCTGCCTACCAAGAAGGCTCTGAGTTCAAACCCCAGTACTGCAAAAAAAAAAAAAAGTAAATAATAATAAGAGAGAAACAAAATCATTTTTACTATATTTGCATTTCCCAGTTGAGGAAAGGGTGGCTGGTCACCTAATTATCCTAAAGTGAAGCCCGTGATCTTACAACTCCATCCATAAAAACAGAACTTTTATACCATGTGTCTTATTCTTAAGTGTGAACTAACAGCTCAGGGTTGCTAGGCATTTGAGAGGAACACATGATACAGAAGATTTTCCTTAGGACAGACAGTTCAGAAACACCCAGAGACTGCATTATTCTGTTGATGATGTGGATAAAATCTAGGCTTGTTTCAGCAATTGACCTCTGTAGAAAGGTATCAGAAACCGAGAAGAATCCCTGAATCTCAAGTTGGCTATGCAGGTTTCTATAGAAATAGGTCCTGTGTTTAACAATCATTATCTGAAACAATTTCATGCATTTTACTTGGATACTTTTTTTTTTTTTTTTTTAAAACACAAGGGCCCATAAACATTTTCTGTCAAGAGCCAGATAGTAAAAATATTAGGCTTTGTAGGCCAGGCAGTGACCTGTAAAGGCCACATCTTCATTCTGCCATTATAATACAAAAGCAGCCCAAGACTTTAAGCGAACAAGTAAGCATGGCTATGTTCCAATGAAACTACAAGAATACCATGGAAACTAAGCTGGTGGCACCCATCGTAATCCCGGCACTTGGGAGGCTGAGGCAGGAGGATCGTGAGTTCCAGGCTAGCCTAGGCTACATAGTATATGACAGTGACTGAAAGACACAAACAGAAAAGGCAGTTTGTGACCCCATTTTGACCTGCAGGATATAGTTTGCTAACACTTGGTCTAGTCTATCTAGTAGAATATTAAATATAAAAGAATAAGTGTGCCATAATACTTATACTATGATGCCAGAGAAAGTATTAAACATTCTTAGAATGATTTAAAAAAATCTATACTGTACTCTTTAGGATTTTATGAAGCTTCCTCAGATAGATACTATCTGGTCTCTGAAACAAAAAGGTGGTAGTGTTTCCAAATGCTTCATTCTGGAATTTTGGAATATAGCCAATTAGCAAACTTTCACTACCAGTATTCCAAATAACATTATGGAGTGTCTGCTAAATTAAGTGACTGCTCTTGGATAATGAAAGGACTCTCCTCCTCCTGAAATTTATTTATTTATTTTTATTCATTTATTCACATGTGCATACATTGTTTGGGTCATTTCTCCACCCTGCCCCCTCCCCCACTCCTCCCCCCTCCCTGCCACCTTACCCCCTCCCCCCTCCCCCCTCAGTTCCAGGCAGGTAAATAAAAGCGTACAAGTAATTGTTGAGCCAATACTAGGATTTATAATCTCTTGAATTTTAACCTAGAACTTTTTAACTATTATAATTTTGTCCCCCTAAATATCCTTATGGTTAGATTTTCAGGCTGCTGTTACAAATACTGTTTTGTAGCCTTACTCTGTCTATTAAAGGCAACTACATCCTAAGAAGAACTCTCAAAGCAATAACTTTTTTAACAGTTAATGAATGAAATTGTTTTATGGACTCTTATGACCATTATTTCTCATGTTTTACAGTAAACCTATGATGGACTTGTTGATATTCCTCTGTGCACAGTATCACTTAAATCCGTCAAGTTACACAATTGATCTACTGTCTGCTGAAAAGAACTACATTAAGTTTAAGCCAAACACACCAATTGGAATGTTGGAGGTAGAGAAGGTAATTTTAAAGCCAAAAACTTTGGATAAGAAAAAACCTACACCAATAATACCAGAGGTAAGGATTCTACTATAGATTTTGATGTCTTACAGCTAACAGTTCAAGTTGATTTTCAGTCAATATCTTTGGCTCATTGTGAATAAAATAAAAATTGACTTTCTAGTCAAATTTTATCTGAATGTGTTTAGCATGTTTCCTAGGGCATTTTGTTTAAGATTCGGTTGGTTATTGATCTTTGGATCAATTAGAATTGGGGGAACATGTTAGTATTAAATGCTCTATAAAGTGATCAATATGACCATATAAAAGTGTGACAGTTATGAATGTGCTTTAAAATATTTTATTTTTAAAGAAATGTTTTAGGATCTTAATAAAAATTTAACATTTTGGATTCTTTATTTAATAAGTGGTAGTTCTAACTTATTGTCCTCTAAATTACAGTTATACAGTTATTTGTGCTATACAATGACTTGGTTCTCTTATAGGTAGATATTTTAAAAAATTTTTAACCTCAATGATTTTAATATTTTTTCACCCCCCACCACACCCAGTACTGGGGACCCAACCCAAGGCCTCATGCATGTTAGGCAAGCTAATGCCCTGGCCCTTAATCAGTTCATCTTACAGTTATTCTATTGCTATAAGTGAAGTTTATGATTTTCAAGAAACACTCTTCAATTATAAGCACTGACCATTGTTTCATTTTATAAAATATATAAAATTTTATATATTGATCATTTACATATGACTTGATAGTTATAGTTCACTTATCTTTTCATATTTTCTTCAGTCATGAGACTTTATTAAAATGTTGGCAGTAAAGCATTTGCTTTATTTATTTCCTTTGGTGGGACTGGAGTTTGAATTCAGGGCTCTGCACTTGCCAAGCAGGTGCTCTACCTCTTGAACCACACCTCCAGTCCAAGCATTTGCTTTAATACATGATTGAACATTAAACATTAAATATTAAGATAGCTGCCTTCTGTCTCAGTATGTATCTATACTATCCAGGTAGAAGTAGTTTTATTTATGCTGTAGCATGTAGATTATCATTATCAGTCATTATTCATGGAGTTGAAGTTTTATGAATAAATGTCTTTCAGGATCTGCAAACTATAAATTTCCCTTGCTAAATTTCAGTGTGTGCAGGATTTAATTCAATTATATCAAAATGATAAAATGCTTAAAAGAATTCCAATAATGTTGGAATTATTAATATTAGATCTATAAATAAGGAAGATTTTAATATTTACTGTGTTTACTATTAACCAAAGTAGTAACAATAGTAACAACAACAAAAACTAATCACTAAAGCTCATTTGTTGATAATTTACTATATGCCAGATGCTAGGCTAAGCTTTTTATATGGTTTATCTAACTTATCAAATTTTGGATAGAACACAAAAATTCTAGTAGTTTTTTCAAAATAGCTCTTTTTTCATTGAGGCGTCTAACAAACCATTCAAAAAATATTCCTTAAATGAAGAGCAGTATAAAACTTGGGTAGTTAGTATCATGTGTGTTCGCTGATTTTAAAATAGGTATTTTAAGAAACAAAGTAAAAACATTAGTAGTACTGGATATAAGACTTTTATTCCTTCTTGAATTTAAATCTGCTTAAAATTTTATGAAGGGCTGTGAATTTAACTTAGATTGTTTAAAAGTCAGATATTTGTTTCCTGGAATTTGCTTTAGATTTAGGAATTAATGTTAGTGAAAATGAGCATTTTATTGATAGAGAAGGAAGAGTGTTAGCTGTATAAGTAAGGAGTTTTAGATTAATTTACTATTCTAGATATCATTATAGAAAGTTTGTTTCTGGAAGTAAATTATGGTGTAACTGTTGCTTTCATCTATCTTTCAGAAAACTGTGAGAGTAGTGATCAATTTTAAAATAACACAGAAGACCATCGTGAGAGTCAGTCCACATGCACCACTTCAAGAACTTGTACCTATTATATGTAGTAAATGTGAGTTCAACCCATTACATACACTGTTGTTGAAAGACTATCAGTCTCAGGAGCCTCTCGACCTGACACAATCTCTTAATGACCTCGGACTGAGAGAACTGTATGCCATGGATGTCAGCAGAGGTGAGTTAGATGCATTGCTATATCCATTTAGCAGAAGGTGTATATATGTACGTGTGTGTACATTGTGTTTACGTGCAGGTGTTCTCAAGGGCAAGTTAATGTAGCCTATAGTAGAGAATAAAAAGATTAAATGTACAGATATAAATCAAGTGAAATGTAAAATTCAACTTTATTTTAGTTACTGAATTAGGAAGGGAAACTTGTCTTTTTGCTGTTATCTACAATTTATATTTTTCTATGTACCTATGGATTTTTTTCTTTTTTTTTTTTTTCAAACAGGGGTCTCACTATGCTGACTAGGCTAGAGTTGAACTCCTGAGCTCCAGGGATTCTCCTCCTGTCTCAGCTTCTTAAGTAGCTACAGGAGTTTACCATAACTCCTGGCATTTTTTTTTTCTTTTCTGCAGAATTTAACTTAATTCTTTGTGGCTTTTATATTTAAACAAAATTTTCAAATAGTATGTAATAAATTCATTACTATTTTAATGAATGAATAGCGTTACATAAACCCATTATAGTGTGAGACTTAGTTATCATTGACGTTTGGACATTTCTTGCCAATTTTTTTCTTAAGGTCAGCCCCTAAATAAACTGGCTTATAAAATGAGTCAATCTAATTCCAAAACTTTTCCAGCGAGCTTTCAGTTTTAATCTATAGAAATAATGTATTAAAATTCAGAGATCTTAGATGATAGTTTGTATGATGTTGAACAGACAAAGGCAAGTTTATTTATTAACACAAATCTGTCTTCTGGGGAGAAATAAAAGATTAGTGGAGCAGACAGTTGTGCACGTGGTGCCTAGAAAACTTCAGACATTATGCTGAGATTGTGGTATTAGGCGATAGACTACTCGTTCAATCAGTGATGTTTTATACATGAACAAAGATCATCTTTATAGTCAATTTACCCTTTTTTACTCCCTCTTGCTGTAGCCACTTCTGTAACTGCCTTCAGTAAGTCATCTTTACAAGGTAAGATATGTACATCAGTAGAAACTATAAATTATAACATGAAATTGAGTAAATTGAAAATAAGCTTCTAATTACCTATTTTCTTAACATTACTAATGTGTACATTCTATAAGAGATTATTAACTTTGAAAATCTTTGATTCCCAAAAATAATTTACAGGTTTCCTTCTTTGATTTCTGAATTTAATTAAAGTGCTTAAAAATTATAACATCCTAGAGGTGGACATGGTAGCACATGCTTATAACCCTAGCACTCGGGCTAATGTAGGAAGATCCTGAGTTTGAAGCTAGGCTGAGAATCATAGCAAATCCCACAGAACAAAAAAAGATATAAATCAAAACAAAACAAAATTATGCAAACCTAAAAGTGTGAGAAAACATTCTCCTTACTATTCTAGAACAATAAATGATTTTGCTAGGATCTTTATTTAGTACAAATGCTGATTGTCTAGTAATATGAAAAGATCTCCATTGCAAAAGTAATTGTATGTTCATCATAGGATTTTTTTTTTGCCACCATGAAGTTGTTTGTAAACATTTTGTAATAACATAGAAAATGCACATGCTAAAATTAGCTTTTAAACCATGAACTGTTTAATACTGTATTAAAAAATCTTCCATATAAAATTTCTGAAAGAAAAAATACATAAAAAATTTAATAGTGGTTAACTTGGGAATGGGAGGCATTTCATATTTCTTTATAGGATTTTATAATGAGTACGTATTACTCTCATGAAGAAAAACTTTACTAAAAACTGTCTAATAATAAACTCTTAAAGTCTTTTTCCTCCCATTTAAAAAAAAAAGGATGTACTCAGATAATTGATTACTCCTGCCCAACCTAAAAACCAAACCTTAATAAACTATACATTGTATATTATTGTGTTTTTCTTTGCTATTTTCAAATTTCCAAAAGCACAATATTCCTCTCAATTGCAGGAAGAAAACCCACATAAATAATTCTATGTTTATTTATTATTGGTGACTATTATGAAGACTAGCCTAACCAAAGGAGCTGAAACCTAATGATTTTGAAGTGTGTAATAGCTTCAAGTCAGAAAATAAGCATTTTAATTCTTTTTTTTTTCTTTTATTATTCATATGTACATACAAGGCTTGGTTCATTTCTCCCCACTGCCCTACCCCTCCCTTACCACCCACTCCGCCCTCTCCCTCTCCCCCCACCCCCTCAATACCCAGCAGAAACTATTTTGCCCTTATTTTTAATTTTGTTGTAGAGAGAGAATAAGCAATAATAGGAAGGAACAAGGGTTTTTGCTGGTTGAGATAAGGATAACTATACAGGGCATTGACTCACATTGATTTCCTGTGCGTGGGTGTTACCTTCTAGGTTAATTCTTTTTGATCTAACCTTTTCTGTAGTTCCTGTTCCCCTTTTCCTATTGGCCTCAGTTGCTTTTAAGGTATCTGCTTTAGTTTCTCTGCGTTAAGGGCAACAAATGCTAGCTAATTTTTTAGGTGTCTTACCTATCCTCACCCCTCCCTTGTGTGCTCTCACTTTTATCATGAAGCATTTTAATTCTGAGACCACATTGGCTGTCAAGTCAATTTGGCAAGCCGATAGGGGAAATTAAGGAAAATGCAAAACGTAGTTTGTGTGGCCCTTCCAGAAACAGCATCCTGTTACTCATAATTACTTTTGCTCTTACCTTTGCCACCCTCACTGTACATAAAACTAAGCAAATTCCATACAATTTTGGTCTTGTTTTTAGGGTGCTGAATGCATTGGTTTTTAATATCCCAGCCATAGAACTATGTGGTTTTCCAGAGCATTAAATGAACCTTAAGAAATAAGAATAGGAAAATTAGGAAAGCCCCCTTTCCAGTGTCTGAATCCAATCTACAAGGCCAGTCCATATGTGGTAAATGTCCTTACCTCCCTATTTTGTTTGAAATCATCAATAGGCTTTGAACTTTGCATGCAATCTCTTTTATCCTGTCTTCTAGAAACAGAGAAACTGCAGCACTGAAGTTGCTTCTCTTAGTAACTCAAGCCTTCCCTTGTCTTAGTGTTTAACTCTGACTTGCAGTGATTCTACGCAGCGCTTGAAGTGAAGGCAGGCTAACTAGTGTGGAGCATGATGAGATACTTGGAGATCGCCATTTGAAGTACTCTGGCTTAATTTATTATACTACCATTCCATATAAAATTTCCACCTGCTGTTCTAACTAAACTTAATTGTATGCCTTCGTTTAATTAATAGGGGATTCTATGTTAAAATGAACTAGTGACATAAAAAAGGAATGTCACAGAATGATAAATAATGCTTAAATGTACATAAGTTTCAGTTCTACCTTTTAATGTCTGTGTGTCTTCATGTAATTTATTCAAATCTCTGGTCACCTGATTCCTTAATTGTTAAGTGGGATGATATCATTTCTTCCACTTCTTTACATCAGGCAGCATCCCCCTGTTGAGAAAAAGGACCCAAAATGATAACGTATGGTCTTCCCTCACATGGATATTCGAAGAAATAAGCCAGGGCATGCGAAAAAAATCCTTCACCTTAAAGTGCTATCCACATTTTCATCATTATTAGTTTTAAGCGTTGTTAAGGTTGCACATAATGCATACTGCTTATTTATATTTTAATAATTAGATTTTAGTTTTAATTCATGGAATAGTTTTCCTTTAGTATGTCATTGAGGCATATTGCATTAATACATGTATTGGTGTTAACTGTCTTTACTTTCTGAGAGTGACCTCTGCATTGCATTGTAATTGACTTAGCTTTTAATTGTATTTTAAATAAAACATTTAAGAATATACATTTACTGCTAATTTCTACTTTAGTTTTTATTTGAGATTTTGATACTTAGTGCTTTATTTCCAATGTCATTGAAATTACATTGGATTTCTTGTAAAAACCCTCATGTTTCTTTGTAGAAGCACTGTGTTTGAAATTTCCTTCTTTGTCTTTAAATTTATAATTCATTTACCAAAGAAACCAGGTCATTTGTCTTACATTTTGTCTCATTCAGAATTTTGCAATGTATTCATATTTTTTGTCCTCTCTCCTTCCTGCAAATTGACTAGCAAATCTAGAGACTTGATCAGGCTTTGGTGAGATAGTTTTAACAAGGATATGTCACAGCAGTTGGATGATGCTGTACTTGCCTATTGTCCTAACTACTCAGGATGTAGGAGCAGGACAATCATTTGACCCCAGGAGTTCAAAACCAGCAAGGGCTACATAGGAAGACTGTCTCAAGGGGAAAAAGCAAAATAAACAAAACCCAAAAGACAAGGACTGGCAGCATGACTCAAGTAGCAGAACAACTGCCTAGCAAATACGAAACCCTGAGTTCAGCCACCAGTACTGCCAAAACAAAACAAAACAAACAAAAAATTCCATAGGTTTTATACTTCCATCAGCAGACACATACTAATGTTGCTACCATCAGTAGTTGTCTACATATTAATTAGGAATTGAAAAAAGGGTGATATCTATTGCAAACCTTCTGTTAATCATTAGCTAAAACATTTCTAAAAAGCAACCTCCATCTTGTCAGCTCTTTGCCTATCTAAATAAAAGTCAGAAAGGCAGGGTGAGAATATGATTGTTTCTTTTCTCTTCATCAGTTTTGTGTGTCTATCCTGACACACAGGTAAACAGTGAGAATGAGTTTATTTTTAGCACCATGTGAATGGATGGAGTTAAACATACCTGATGTTTCATTATATGGAGTTATTCTTAGGATGTTAAAATTGTCCTGATTTTTGCCAGTAGAAAACACCTCAGGATGGCTCCTGAGTCTGTTAAACATGGCCCAGTGGACTTTACAGCTTGCTGTCTAGCATGAGTAGTTGTTGCAAGCTCATCTGTACACTTACTGATGCTAACAGAAAATTGACCACTGTCAAGCAATCGAGGTTCCTTTCAGTGGGGGAATGGAATTAGAGACATCTGGGCACGGTGGCTCAGTGCGGCTGGATTGGTCCTTGTTTATTGGCCCTTTCAGTTGATACTAAGAAATAATTCTTGGAAAAATATAAAGAAATGTTACAGAATTTGCCTTGAGGTTTAATATCTGTCATTCTGGTTAAACTGGGATTTCTTCATTTCAGCACTGTTAACATTTGGGGCCAGATGATTCTGTCCTTCATTAAGATCTATCAGATTAAGCAAATTATGTAGTTTACAAAACTACATAATTTTCCTTAGTGCTTAAAAAAGATTGGTTCCAAAGCTTCCGTGGAAAACAAAATCTGCAGATGCTCAAGTCCCTTATATAAAATTGCCTAGAATCTACATATAACCTTCACATTTATTCCAGTATACTTTAAATAATCTCTGGATTACTCATGAAACCTAATTGTTGTGTAATGTATTTACTTACAATACCCACAACATTTAAAATTATGTTGTAAATTACAATTACATTGTAAATGCTGTGTAAATGGTTGTTATATTGTGCTTTTCTTAGGGAATAATGACAAGAAAAAATCTGTGCATACTCAGTACACATGCTTATTTTTCCAAATATTTTTGATAAAAGATTTATTGGATCCATTGATGTAGAACCTGCAGACACAAAGGGGCAACCTTAATTATAATAGCTCATGTTTTAGAGAATAAAATACTTCATCATTGTTTAGCTCTCAGTCAAAATTATAATCAAAATAAAAAGGAAAAACTGTGGGAGAATCTTATTAAATTTGAAGTATCCTTTTACTTTCATTTCAAAAATGTTGGTAAATATGTAACACAGATTGAGTCACCAGGAATTGAATTTAGGTTCTAGCTGTGATTCTTGGTCCTGGTAGAATTGAGTACAGTATCTAGCAGATTGCCTGGTTCATGTAATTTAGGATTAAATAAGTTTTTAAAAGGCAAGTAAGAGAAGCACACCCCAAAATAAACATTCAACCCTGTCAACAAAAGTAAGATGCATTTCTTATTTTTCAGAATCCTGTCAAATATCCCAAAACCTGGACATTATGAAGGAGAAAGAAAATAAAGGATTTTTCAGCTTCTTTCAACGCAGTAAGAAAAAACGGGAGCAAGTAAGTATTTTTTATGTAACATTTTATGAATCTTGAGATCATTTTCATTGTATCTTTTTATCTTGAATTTACATATTGATATTGCTTTTTAATTCTTGACTAGACTGCGAGTGCTCCGGCAACCCCACTAATAAACAAGCACCGCCCATCTTTTACGAGATCCAATACCCTTTCCAAACCATATGTTTCGAACACCCTGCCATCGGATGCGCCCAAGAAAAGACGGGCTCCACTGCCTCCAATGCCAGCCGCCCAGAGCACGTCCCATGACCTTGGCAACATCCAAGAGAAGCCACCTTCTTGTGTGCTAAAGTCCTTAAGTGTGGATGAAACTGATAAGGTGAGTTGGTTTGTTTCATGTCTTGGGATGAGACAGGGGACTATCTATTCTTCTTTTCCCCTAATTTGTCTTTTTCCACATGGACTCACTAAGAAAGTTAGTAAGTTATTAATATGTAATAAGATGAACATCTGGTTACTATAAAGATTGGTACTGAGGGAGGACTCTGTATAGGCCTGTATGCAGTAAATAATAGCTGTTAATTTTGAGTAGCTTTCATTTTTAAGCAAATAAATTATCTGTAAACCTGAAATCTTGGTTTACTAAAAGCTCAACCAGGGGCTCTTGTTTGATGCATATATTAGGAACGAATTTTTTATTACTTTCAAATAATAAACAAATTTGAACAGCAATATATCTTTTTCTTGTGATACATACCTGGGTCTCTTACTGCTTGTATCTTGACTGACTCTGAAATTCTGAGATTCTCCATGGGAAAGTATGGTGCTACCTGGTATATTGACACTCTATTTTTATTAATGGCCCTTTTGATAGAATATATTGTAGTTACATTTATGCTTATATTTCCTGTATTCAGAGGATTGCTCTAGATATAACTTTCTCTCAAAGTTTTATTATTTACGTAATTATCATTACTCTTTTTAATCCTAAAATTTCACTGAGATTTACATTTTTGTAGCAATCTATTTGTAAGCTACTTTTCATGCCTAAGAATTCTGAACTATTCACGTGGACTCTGTGAGTTTTTAGATAAACGTGATAGAACATGAGGCCATATATTCTATGACTTGTAATCAGACAGAATGATTTAAGCAACTTTGAAAGCATAAATTATTTTAATATATTTAGGACACTGAGTGGTTTTCTTGTGTTTAGAGAGAGGATTTTATTTACTCATTGGTAAGTAAATGCTCAAGGAGACAAACTCCTCACAAACACCCACTATACATTTGTACATATCCTTAATTTAAAAAATATTTTTTGACTTTAGTTTTTAAGTGTAAGCCTTGATACTGCCAAAAAAGTAGCAACTCAAAGATGTAGAAATTATTTTTTAAAATGCTGAACCCTAGTAGTTACTTGAAAAAGCAGCTACTGTCTTCTTAAGATTTTCTTGCCTAGTTTAATGTTTGTGGTATATAACCTCATAAATAAGGAGGAGGATTCTTTTTCAATGAGAGAATTATTTCCTGGTGAAGTCTTCTAGAGCAACTGCTTCACAGTTGGGTGAAGTTTCACAGAAGAGGTGATTCTTGAGTTCATTTCTAACGTGTGTAGGAGTACATTAGTCAGAAGGGCTCTGTTAAGAGATTTGCAAATGTGGAGACTATGGCGTGCCTGGACATGATCAAGAAACAGCTTGAAACTAAGCAAGGAGAACAGGGCTAACTCAGGTCCCAAATACTTCATTTTATGCTTGTAGCCCCTTTAAATTTCTTCACAGGAAAAATCATTTTCAGGATTGTTTTATATGTTTAATTAATGTAAAACTATTATAAGAGTGTAAATTATTATACTCTCAAGTAGCTACCATAGTATCTTTTTTCTGTGTGCAAAAATAATCTTATCCCCTGCTTACAAATCTGTGTTTTAGCTGTCCTTATTCAATCTATTCTAGTAAACTTCTCTTTGTATTTGGATACACAAGAGGTCTAGGTTGTCTTCCTAATAGTCTCCCTCTCAAAATTCTGGGCTATGCTACCAGTGACCTCACTGAAAGCTGTTCCTTTTGATTTTCATCCTCTGCCCTATGACCAGCTGGTGCCCCTGTATTAAGTAATCTTTCCTTTTTTTTTTTTTAGCATGTTGCCTTTGGCAAACTACACATCTTTGTACAATTTTGTAATTATTTTTCCTTTTGATTTGGACATCTGGATAGTCCTTTGATGTATTGTTCAGTAAGACTCAAAATTATGCTTTTCCCCAGAGAAAATGAACTATTTATTTATGATTATGTTTGTCACTGTGTGCATGTGCACATGTACACACACTTGAATTCATGCCTGTCTAGGCATCTCAGCACTTATTCTTTAAATTTGTGGTCATATTTGATGTGATGAATCATCTTTTGGTCTTGATTTTGCCATCTTCCTTAGTTTTAATATTTTTCACCTATTTTTCTACTTTTTCTTGCTACCACTTCCTTCACCCATTTTCTGCATTGGGGTATCTTCTGAATCAATGTGTAATTTACTTTCTAAGAGAAGCCACCTATTCTGTTGAGTTCATGGGCTGAGAGTTCTCAACTTCCCCCTAAGAGATATATCTAGGTCCTAAGCCCCAAAACGTGTAAATGTGCTGTTTTTAAATAGAATTTTGCAGGTGTAGTTAAGTTTAGAGATGAGATCATACTGGTTTTAAGTTGGGCTCAAATCTAATTACTAGTATCCTTCTAAGAAGAGAAGAGACATACAACATAGGCTTAGAGAAACAAAGGAGAAGGTGTGTAAAGACCAAGGCAGAGCATGGTTTTCTGTTACACAGCCAAGGAATGCAAGGAGCCACCAGAAGCCAGGGAGACAACAGAAGAGCCATCTGAAGAATCATGACTCTGTCAGCACTTTGATTTTAGATTCCTGGCCTTCAGAACCATGGAAGAATAGCTTTCTATTGCATTAAGCCTCAAAGTCATGCTAACTTGTTATGACAGCCCTAGAATACATAATTTATACTTCCAGTCCTAATATTCTTCCTATTGCAGTTCAAACTAATAGTTACTTTTTAACTTATCATTACCTTTAAATATGCTGATATTTAAAACCAGCACCTTAAGAAAGAGTAATAGTGGGATAAATTTGATCAAAGTACATTATATGCATGTATGAAAATGCCACAATGAAACTCTTCTTTTTATGCTAATAAAATAATTTTAAAATTAAAAACATAAAACCAACCCCATTTTTTCTCCCATACTGAAAAAACTCAAGGTCATCTCTGGTGTTTTTGTCTTATTCTGTTCACACCTAATTAGAGACTAGTCTTTCACCTAGTCTCCCCTGGTAATGTCTTCTGTTCCCTCTGCTGAAGTCATTTCTAGAAAAATCCAGGGCGGAGAGTAAGAAGAGAACCAGTATTTAACTTGTCTTCAGAATGCTCTGAGTGTGGTAAACTGGCACATTTATATTTCTTAATTATCACTTTCCAGTTCAGAAACTTTAGTCAGCTGTGATTTTCTGAGCCTCAAGTTCCTCCACAAATTGATCATAATTTTGTTTTTAACCTTTAATTCCTCATCATTTTCAGGCTGCTTTTAACTCTAACCAGATTTGACTCATTGTTGCTCCTGTGCAATTCTGCTTCCCAGCCTGTCAGCATGGAAAATGCATCCCCCTCATCTTCATTTCTACCTACCCAGCTGATTCCCATTCTTTTACCTATCTAATGGAGGATTTTCTGAAGATTCCAACACATAATAATCTTTGCTTTCTCAGAATTTGTCGTTTTCACCTTGTATATTTTAATTTATATGTATATGTATTGTTAGTATATTCATATAATTCTAAAGGACAAAACAGTACAGTCCCCAACCAAATTCTTCAGAGGTAACTACTGTTAACAGATTCTTGTATATGCTTCTCAAGATAATGTGTAAGTGTGCTGCATGTACCATGTACTGTGTTTTGCCTCACTTTTTAGATATCCTAATCAGTGCATAAAGGATGACTCCCCCCCCACCTTTTTGTGGTACTGGGGTTTGAACTCGGGGCCTATACCTTGAGCCACTCCATCAACCCTTTTTTGTGATGAGTTTTTTCAAGACAGGGCCTCAGTAACTGTTTGCCTGGGCTGGCTTTGAACTGAGATCCTCCTGATTAGCTAGGATTACAGGCATGAGCCACTGGATCCCATCTTGATAACCCCTTTTAAAGGATGTTATGTTTCTTACTTACCCTATCCTCTGATAAATATTAGGGTCAAATTATAGCTGTTTAAAGTATACAGTATTTTAAAATTTTTCCTTTTTTCCTCTCCCCAGGAAGAGGGTAAAAATTGTTTCCCAGCAAAACTCTTTAACACAGTAGATGTTCAAGAGAATTGATGAGTAAACTTTAACCTAAGCTTTCACATAGACAGATATAGTATATACGATAAGAATGTCTTATTATATGCATATCACAAAAAGTGTTTCTTTTGAATTTCTGGTAAATTGTTAAAAATATTTGGATAGCTTAAAGATTACTTAAATTTGCTTTTATAGTAATTTGATTCTTAGCAATGTTTTCCTAAAGCTTTTACAGACAAAGGAGAATTGTGATAAAGCTTCTACAGACAAAGGAGAATTTTGATAAGTCTATATTGAAAACTTAAGAATCAACAACTAAAATCTTACACTATGTATTAGGTAATGCATAGAAATATAACTAGCCCTTGAAATGATATTTTTATGTGTAAATATTTAGCAAATTCAGCATGTCAATTTATGGATGAGTTTTACTGCTTGTTTTAAATTTAAAATCAAAGATACTCGGTATCATTTAAACATTTTTAAATCTATTTTAACAATTCAGTTTTGAACTTGAAATTTTAATGTCACTCTTTTTAGTCATTCAGAGTACTAGCACATTGGAAAAAACATTGCTAAGAGAAAAATATACATCCAAATTTATTCTAAGTGCAAAAGAATTTCAGATAGACTTTTATATAATTTGTATTGTCTGCTACAAAATAAACCACAAGGGTGCGCTGTGTAATAGAAGTACAACATTCTAATTTTTCCATTCCCCCACCCCCCCAGCATCCTTTAAAAAAAAGAAATTTTGGAAATAGTTATAATGCCCATTTTGTGTGAGCACAGACAGAAAAATAGGACTAGTGAGATAAATATCAGTAATGCTTGACAAAGAGGTCAATAATTAGCAATTTTATTCATTTTGAACTTTTAGTTTATTTTGGTGTTCTTTTAAGTAGCCACTAATAATATGTTTGCCTTAGTTAACGCTGACTGATTAGTTAATTTATCTTGGGAAAAATTGTCAAACACATCTTTTACACTTTTTGGCTGTTCATATTTAATGACTTGCACCATTCCTCTAGGACAT